ACTGAATCACAATTTAAGAAAGAAATAAAACCCGTAAATAAAAAAAAACACTTTATTGTGAATGAGAGCGTCAATTAAAAATTTTCATTAATTAATTGCCGCACTCATTTAGAATATCACGCTTAGAGTGCCTCTTACAATTTTTAAAAAAATATTTAAACAAAAAGTAAAAAAAAAATTAATTCACAATTATATAAACAAAATAATGAATAAAAATTTGTAGGACTGCGGTTGTTGGGCATGTGTGTAAATGAGTCTTCTTAATTTTTATCGACAGAACAACAATGCATTAACTTAAATATGATAATTAATTAATTAACTGAGATGAATTTGATCAATTAAAATGTACATTTGAGGAAAAAGAATGAAAGTCATTTAAAAATGGTGACTTAAGCGCATTTTTCCTTTTTATCTGAAGGAATTTTAAACAAGTTTTGATTCTTGAAGTTTTCTGAGGAGTTCATTTAATTGAGTTTGATGGCTTAGCTTTGCTTAAATTCATAATTTTATTGAATACCTAATTAAGATTTGATAATTGCCCCTCTTCACCTTGTCATTTAATTTGACCATTAAACCAATTTTTTAATAAACTTAGTTTTATTATAAGGACCTTACTTATTATTTCATAAAATGTTTTGTATTCTTTTACGAATCATTCTGTGATTTCAGATTCCTTTCCGATATCTCTTCCCATTCTCCTAAGCCACCCTTTTTAATTTTTATTTGTTTCTACAAAAATTAATCTTGACTCTTGAATTATAATTAAAAGCTTTAAAAAAATAAATTTCATAGAAAAAGCTCAGAATACTAGGAAAAATGCGCTGGTGTAGACAAAAACTACATTCACCATCAACTCTCAATAGAATTTAATTAAGCGATTCTGATTGATTTTAATTTAAAATTTTTGCCAGTCTTATTTCCATTAATTTTAATTTAATTTTTCCTTGCAACTTATCAACAGTAAATAAAATATAAATAAAAAAGAATAAAGAAATAGCAGCTCAGGGGCATCTCAAATTCTTCCATAACACAACAAAATTGAAATATTTAAAAAAAAAAACAAAATAACAAGAAAAAAATTATATCAATTAATCAATAGACCCAGTTTAAAAAATAGAAATTTTACACAGTGCAACCAGAATTAACAATTTAAAAAGAAATATTAAAAAAGTATGGCAGTTATTTCCTTAAAATTTGAGGAGATATTGCCAATGTCGTCGCTCTCAATAGACCTGATTAACAGAATTTTTTATAACAAAATACATGAAGACACACTCACACAGGCAGAAAATAGTTGAAATTTTTTTGTATACACAAGGAACAATAGAATATTACAATACAATAGTCCTTAATTGGGATACCCATTTCTCTCAACTCATGACTCGTGACTCACGTGATTTATGTTAGAAAGTTTTACATAATATAAAAAAGAATGATTGTTTAAGTTGATATTTACATAGATTCATACATTCATATTGAAATTGGCTTCTTTTAGAATCATGTTAACCTCGTCAGTCAGAACAATAAAAATTGTTTTAGTTCTATAAATTTAATCGGATTACTAAATTGTGGATTAAACTTTGGTATACTTTAGATTTGTAATAATATGGTTGTTAGAAGTTCATTTAAGTTCAAAAATTGAGCTCGTAATTAAATTACTTTTATGAAAGGGTAGTCGAATGAAAACTATTCCTTGTAGGTCGATTTGCATGTAGGGAGGATCCTTTTTGATTTAACATGTCAAATAACTATGAATTAACATGAACCTAATCTCAATAATGCAATGGAACGCGTTAAAACTAAATCCTAAAGGTCTCATAAAGGTCTCTAAAGGTTCCAAACCCGATTCAAGAACTTAAAAGATTTCTTTAGAATCTAAAAGAAATATTGTAATCGACCAGACACTCTGAATCAATGCTTAACATTAGTTTAGATCTTGTTAATGCCTCTGCTCGATGATTCAAAACCTCGATTAATCTTTATCAGAAACGAACGAACTCAAAAGTTATCAAAAGGTTAATGCTTAAAACTACATATACTTTTAAAACCTTAATAATTCCAATCAACTTTAAAACTACAACAAAAAACAAAAGTCTCGCTCAAAGTATACCAAACATTCCAGGAGCAAAATCATTGTAAATTCAATTTGCATTATTTTTATAATTTATCTCAAACATTTTCAATATGAATGCAGTTATTTGAGTGCCAATTGCTAATTAGACCATAAACTTATAAACAATTTTTAAGTTTTTTTACACACTACAGAATAATATGCAGGATCGCTAAGATTCATATGAAAAATTGTGTTAAATGTTTTTGACGGAAAAATTTAAATGAGAATTTTCGCAGTAAACGAAAACTTAAAAAAATTGAAGTGATTTAAAATATTTTTTGGTGTGATTTAAAGTGAGATTCGAAATTTAAATTTTTAAGGTTTTGGTTGAAACTTATTTTATAATTAATTTTTCACAATTTTAAAACTTTTTTAAAAATTTAAATTTGAAATTGTTTTACTTCAATTGACACCAAAAAGTAGTTTTTAAGGAATATATCTCAATAAAAGAAAATTATTCTTTGACATAATTGAAACTTTGGTTTAATTTCGACTCTCATCTCATGAAACACACAAAAAAGAATCTCTTTAGTTAATTTCGCATAAATAAAAAGACACAAAAAAATAAGAATTAAAAAATGTCAAACCGTTTTTATGTTGGAATGTCAAAATAAGCAAAAAAAAAAAACTAAAATGTGAATTATAGGGATAAAAAAAACTGTTTAAAAATAAGAAGGAAAAGGAAAAAGAAGAAGAAATAAAATAATTTACACTGTAGTGCCTGTTCTCCCAACAATTTATATGATGATATGAAGAAAAAAAAACATATAATAATAATGATAATTATGATAAATATGATAATACCAATAATAATACTAATGATAATGATAAAAAATAGTGATAGAAAGTTTGCAAAATATTTTTTTGCATGTTTAAGAATTTTTTTCTCAATTGTCTGAGTTTTAAATTTTTTTTCTCAATTCTTTCTGAAAATATGGATTTTTTGGGGGTTGTTGATGCTTTGAATGAAAATTACAGTCTTTGACAGCTTGTCACATTCTGAGAGTTTTCTTTTTTTAATAAAATGAATTCAATGAAGTTAAAATTATGAAATCAGCGTTAAAGATTAAGTCTGAACAATGGTAAATTATGTCAAAAGTTTTCTTAGTAAGTGACCCAACGTAATTTTAATCTAAGTAAGAACCCTAAATTTGCCAAAAAAAATGCATCAATGACCGCCAAAAAGCTCATCTTCTCCTCCCTCAATACCTTGTTTTGCTACCAAAAATTCAAACAAACCATAAAATTATTTATTTTTTTTTTAAAACAAACCAAAAGTAATGAAGTTTTTTGAGTGCACTAATCATCACGTTGCAAAATGAAGTTAAAAATATTATGGCAAAAAAAAATTATTAAAGTAACAAAAATTTCACGCTAAATTCACATAAAAAAATGATGAACAAATTTTAGAAATTGCTTGATTTAAAGGAAACAAAAAAAAATTATTCAAACATAAAAAATTCTTTATTGCGTATTCAAAAAAAAAGTAAGAAAATATTTATCGAAACACACACAACACACTCATGCAAAAGACATGATTTATAGATATTTTTTTGGTATTATCTTGAAAATTAATATTTCTTTTAAAAAAAATAAATAAAGCCTTTTAGAGACTTAAAGTATCGACAATTTGGCATAAGAATTTTTTGAACATTGATGAGGCACTAAAATCATGTTAGTTTGGTACTACTCTATGTAATCAAAAAGACTTTCTTATTTTTAGTAATTAAGCAACACCTTGAAAGAATTTACTATCCTTCGATTCTGTTTAGTAAAGGTCTTTGTGGATGAAATTGTAATTTTGATTACTTAAAGTGGAAAAAAAAATTCTGAAGAATTCAAAACATATAAGATTCTTGACAGTCAGACACAAATAGTATATAAATGTGTCAGGCTCTCCATTTTTTGAATAATTCGAATTTATGTTATTAGTGTAAATATTTAATTTAAATCAATTGAATTCTAATGAACTTAATTTGAATGTATAATGAATTTTTTTAAGGAGATAATTTTTTCGGAACTAAAGGCAACGCAACTAAAGACTTCTATGCTTAAACGAGAAACAAAACTTTATTTATCGTTGAGATATTCTTAATTTTAGTTTTGAAAATTTAAAATTTTGAAATTTTTGAAAGTTTTGAATTTTTGAAATTGTTGAAAATTTTAATAATTTGAATTTTTATACAATTTTTTGATTTAAAAAAATTAACTCCTGAAAATTTAAAAGACATTGAAAAAGCTAGCATATTTTGGGAATTGAAAGCTCAATGAGCAATATTTAAGAATCAAAAATTAAAAATGTTTACATTTCCGAAAGTTTTTTTTTCGCCAAACGTCGCTTACAATTTTCTGGGAGTCCTCGATTTGAGTAAGATTTGAATCTATTCAAATCGATTCTACTCAAAAAGAGGACTTCCAGCAGTTAAAAGTCAATTATTAAAATATCAAAATAAAAAAAAATTGAGCATCAATTTGCAATACATGCAAGTTCATTAGTGTTACACATCTTACGTTAATTTTTACATATTTTCAAAATAAAATGATCATTTTAAACTACGACACGGACACACAACAAATGAAGAAAGTTAAAAAAATTAATAAAAAATGCATATCATAGTTGTAAATCAATTACAATTCGAAAATTATCATTTATTACTGATGATAATTTCAAAATAAAAAAAATGATGAAAGAAAAAATTACAATTTTGATGAAATAAAATGAAAAATGCTGTAAAAAAATTTACGAGTGACTTGAGTTTTTAATCTGCATGTATGTTTCGTGTTTTGATGTATTTTATTGAATTTAATGAATTTTTTAAGCGATAATTCTTATTTAAATTAGTAAATTTACTTAACGGTTTTTTTTTTCAATTTTTAAATTTTCCAGCGTGACAGATATCAACGTTTTATGGCACCAAAGCCATCATCATCTATCATGAGCGGTCTGCATCGTCTAAAATCATCATCAACACCACAAATGAGTTCAACTGCAACATCACCATCAATGGTTCCCTCAATGATGCCTTTTCACTTTCCATTCTCACCATTTTCACTCGGCATGAATCTTTTTGATATGACAGCAGCAAATGAGAATCGCAACTCACCATCAATCGATCCAAATCGTATACTTCACATCTTGCATCAACAATCATTATTGGCTGAAGAGTTATTAAAATATCGTGCACTGCTTGGTTTACCATCACCATCAACTTCTACTTCTTCTACATCATCATCTTCAAACTCATCATCACATCCATTCTTTAATGACATGAAGCCATCAATTGAGTTATTCAAGATTCCAAATTCACATGATACAAAATTTAATAAAGATATCGTCCATGAATCAGAAATGATACCATCCAAACGTCAAACTCCCTCCTCATCAACTGAAATTGATCTTACAAAAGATGATGGATGTTCAACACCGAAAATTAAAGCCCGTCCTGAATCGGAATTGTTATCGGAAAAGTCATCGACAACGTCAACAACAATTTCGCCAGCTGCTGTGTCAGCGATGCTTATTGATCCCGATGAATTAAAGTGTCACATTTGTATGGCTAATTTTCCATCACTTTGGCTTCTCGAGCAGCACACAGCATTACAACATAGTCAGTTGTCGTGCTCTGAGAAGCAGAATAAGTGCGAACATTGTGGTCAAAATTATCGGTGAGATTACTTTAAGTTTTTTTTTATATAAGGGGGGGGGGGGGACCCGGTGCTGTGTATTGAAATAATTAAATTTTCTAATATCCATGTAAATTCTTCTAATATAATTTTAGCTACAACTGCTGCTTACAATCAACATTGTTGATGAACTCACAAGATCATCCAGGCAATCCGAATCGTGCAAGAGTTCCAGCTGATAAGTATGACCATTTTCTTTCTAAAAAGCTGAAAAATCAAATTAAAATAGGAATTTTAAAATTTCCAGACTTTTCACATGCGATGTGTGTGGCATGCAATTCCGTTATCTAAAGTCATTCAAAAAGCATCGCTTAAATCATGCATTAGAGCGTCTCCATGGCAAGAAAGAGATGAATGAGAATTCAGGTGAATTAATGGTATCAAGTACAAATGATGAAAGTGGCATTCCAAAAGGCGTTATAAGCCTTGAAGATGAACAAATGTTGTTAGATGATCAGGATCAAGATGATACAATAGATTCCATTAGCAATACAAATAGCAATATGAACTTTTCTTCAACTAATCTTATCAATACAAAACAAATGAATGATCCCAATTTAAGTATTTCAGCAGATAATAATAATTTTGGTGGTGATATTAAAGATAAGTCGTCGATTAGTAGTGCAATAACTGAATGTGATAAACAAGAAACTAATGGCAATATTACCAGTTCGGACAAACTTTTAGACGAGATGACTGACATGGCAAATACTCAACATGATGCTGAATCATCATCAGCTCTTAATTTTACGATGTCGTCATTACAAAATTCATTTTCAATGCAAGGCTCAAGTGGATCATTAAAGTCATTGACAATGACCAATCAATCTTTGATGGGTTTGAATTCTCAGGAAGCTTCGATATTGAACTTTTTACGGGTTGATGCTGATAAACGTGATAAACGTTTTGCATGTCCATTCTGTGGCAAATGTGTGCGTTCAAAAGAAAATTTAAAGCTTCATGTACGAAAGCATACTGGTAAGATGACTCATTCAGGTTGAAAACTTATTCGATTTTATGATTTTATCCTTTATCACTTAAGAATTTGGCACATCTAATCTAAAACTCTGACTTAATATTAATAATTTTAATTTTATTTCTAGGTGAACGTCCCTTCGTTTGCCTGTTCTGTGGTCGTGCATTTGGTGGCAAGAGTGATTTGACTCGACATTTGAGAATACATACGGGCGAACGGTAAGTACAATGGCTTATGAAGTGATGAATTAGAGTTGGCATTTTGGTTCTCTTTAAGTCTTGTGCAAGAGTTTGTTTATTGAACCTTGATTACATGAATCGTCGCTCATGTTGAGTCCTCAAGTGGAACAATTGACATGATGGTAAATTACTAGATCTAGGGATGGCTAATGACAACTTTTTAGGTACGTTCATAAAATATTGTCATTAGCCGTTCCTAAGCCTAGTAATTCAATATCATGTCAAGTTTTTGGGGCTTTACGAGAATATTACGAGGCTCAGACCCCGAAGAGACGTTTAATTTTGAAAATATTAATTACTTGTGACGCTATTGATTCCACAATCTAGGACTAGATTGGATAGAAAGAAAAATCTAAAGATATATAACAAAATATCTATATTGAGCCAGATGAATAAAATATGAAAAGGTTATATAAGGTTTTTATGCCATCTGAAATAGTTTAAATACTTTTCACATGGCTTTTCCTTGCGAGTAATAAATAAATAAGAATGAATGCTAAATTTTCCTTTAATCATAATATTTCGTACACTAGCAGGAGCAAATCCAAACTTTGGTTTGAATTTTAAAAACCCCAGCAAATTAAATTTCAAAAACCGTCCTTAGCTACACACTCTATCAATGTGTACCCCTATAATCTAAAACAATCTTTGCTGAAATTTATTTTAATATAAAATTTTCCAGGCCATATCATTGTGAAAGTTGTGGCAAATGTTTCGCTCGTGCCGACTATTTATCAAAACATTTAACAACTCACGTTCATAATACTCAATCACAACAGCAACGCTGAGAAATAGGAAGGCGGAGACGCCATTTCCTCCGCAAAGGCTCAACGGATGACCATAACAAGCAATATATGTAATGATGACAGTCACTTTATAGAGATTCACAAATTGACTTTGCTGATAAATAATTTTTAGCTATATATACAGAACAATTTTATCAACGAAATTAGTAACTTTAAAAAAAAAGTAATGAAAGAGATGAAAAAAATGAAAGAAAAAAATTTTATTTATTATTTTAGTGCAATGAAAGTCTTTTTAAAGAAAAAAATAATAAGCTGCTCATGTAAGAACAAAAAAAAATATTTTTAATTATATTATATGTGTATTTCCTCTCAAAATGACAAAGAAAAAAAAATATTCCCACATGGAAGTTCATAAGTATGAAGAATAAATCGATACCAACGAGTTAAAATATGAAAAAAATTCAATCGAAAGACATAAAAAAAATTTTTGTCTCATTTTATAAAAGTTTTGCACTAGGCAACTGCTTTGAGACTAAAATTGAGATTGATAGCAGCAAACCATAAAAAAAATAATTCATACACAAATGAAATAAAACAATTAAAATGAAACGCAAAGTGTTACCTCAACAAAAAAAAAATTAAGGACAGAGAAAATATATGTTTACATTTTTTTATTAGTCATTTCAGTTAAAATTAGTGAAGAACAAAAAAAATAATGAAATTAAATGCAATATTAAAATGAAAATAAGAAATTTAATGAAATTAATATGAATGTGGTCATGTTGAAGTGATAATGAGTGACGAAATAGTGATGATGGATATGATGAGTGAGCTAGAAGTTTGGTGAATGATTTTCAATAATTTTGGATTTTTAAAAATATGGGATGAATACCATGCATGCCGAGATGTTGAGTGGAATGGTTGAAATCATAAATTTTTAATTAAAGCAACTTATTTATCGTCTAAGACTGTCTATGTAGCGATAGCCTAAAACCCAATAGTAAGTTACTCGAGTAAAAGCGAGACTTTACAAGCTAGCTACCCTTACGTTCAAATTCTCCATATAATGATCATTAAGTAGACATAAATGTCTACTTTGGTTGAGACTAGTTTGCAAGCTCAGAAAAACAAAATAACCTAAGACAGTCACATGAGATCCATACTGAAACTTTATAGACCCCGAATTCAACATGGCTTCTTCAAATCAAACGGGAGCCTTTAAACTGCTTGGGTAGCTTCAAGCCTTCATATTAAATTAACAAAGTTTGACCACGAGCGTATAAATTCGCCTGAAGTCGTCCTAGCCTAAAATTTTGTCTCGATTATCCAACTTGTGCTGTTCCGGTATGTCTCCTACTACCATCTTTTAAAAATTCATAATAATTGAACTCAAATCACAGTGATAAATGAAGAATTTTGTATGAATGAGTATGGATATTAACCTCCCAAAAAAGAGAAAGAAAAATTGGACCCATAAATTTTTCTACGAAACATTATTTTATTGACTTTAAAAAACCAAAAAAAAAAAATTCAACAATAAAAAAAAATTGAGCTGAACAAAAAGGTGTTAAGAGTGAAATGGATTTTTTAAATGAAAAAAAAGAGTGAAATGAATGTGTCCGAAATTCAGCATGAAAATGAGAGTTTCTTTTTATTGAATAAACAAAAAATAGGAATAGGAAAAAAATCAGTAAAAAATAATTTTTCTTCATCGGAAGAGTCTGTGATTAATGATAAGATTTAAAGATGAAACACACATAAATTGCGATAATTACTTATTAAATGATAAAAAAAAATTGTTCTCAATCTTTTAGAGATGAGATTTTAGTTTGATATGAAGAGATTTGTAATGATTGAAACAAGTTGTTTACTTATCTATTTTTGTTACCGACTAATAGTTTAAAACTGTTTTTGTTTGTTCTTTATTGATTTTTGTTTTTCAAACTCAGATGAAATATTTTTATATACTTTTATATCAGTGGGATGGATGTGAAATATTTTGGGGATTTTTTAAATTGATAAAAAAAAATTTAATGTCTTGGTTTATCCCCACTCCATTTTCAGTAGTAGAAAAGATGTTAAAATCAACACTCAGTCTACTTAATAAAAAGTTGCTTATACTCTGATTAAATTAAACTAATGATTTTAAAGAGCATAGCCTGACAATATTGGGGTTTCGTTTAGAAATGGAAATTCATTAAAAAAACCATATGCCCACTCATAGAAATAATTGTATGGTTTTGAGGAAAATCAAAAATTCAAATATTTGTTTTTTCCGATTTGTATGAAATTTCAAATATTCGGTATTTGATTTTCCTCAAAACCATTCAAATACTAATATTTATTTTATAAGTGCTGAAATACAGGTTCAATTCCTAATTTAAAAAGAATTTTGGATAATTTTGAATTTTTGCTTACATCTTGAGATTAAGATAAGAGATGTTATGAGGTAAGAAAAGGTAATGCTAGATCGAATCACTTATAGGGTCGTTCACTTTTGTATCCGAGATTTTGAATGAGGGGGATCTGGGATTTTGTGACAGCTCAAATAAAGAAAATTAAAATAAAGGGGAGGTGGGTCTGAAAAACCATGTTTTTGTCGTGAATGAACCCTAAGTTTTCATATATTTTTTTTAAAAAAATTGTTAATAAATGCCAGACAATTCACAGTTTATTTTATCCTATAAATATCCTCAAAATTTTCATCTCCACCTCACTGTAATTTTTATCAAACCTTTTTTTGTTGTTAACATAATAATTAAAAGTATTTTAAACTGTGCCAAAATCAATGTACCTCAATAATAAAACGATGAAAAAATGTAATAGAACAAAACAGTCAATAAAAAAAAAATACATACTGCAAAAAACAATATTAAAAATTCCATAGAACTGGATTTAGTTAATAAACTCATATAAGAAATAAACCATACAATAAGTAACAATAATGAAGACATAAGAAAATGAACAAAAATGTTGCAAGGGAAGTTTTAAAAAATATTGCTGCTTAATATTGATGTTGAACTTCAGAAAATTGAATTTATTGCAAATTAAGCCAAAAAAGACATCAAGACATGATCACTTCTTCATCAAATTCTACCAAATCATAATCAATCATCAAATCCATACAAAAATATCATTTAGTGTTCATGTCTTGACATTCAACCAATAAATTTCCCTTGCAACAGAACTCAATAACTCAATAGGACATAAAATAACTTTTTATACAAACGGATTTTTAATTTTTTCATGTATTTTCGGCATAGAAATCTTTTTGTTGATCAATTTTATAATAAATTATTATTTTGAAAAGCTACAAAATTGTATAAATGGGTAAGGAGTGTATAATTGGAATTAAAATTGAGCTAATCGAGTTGAATGTGATAAAAATTGGAATGATGATCAATTTTAAATTAACAATCTAGTGCAGCTAAACTGAGTTAAAGACACCACGTAGCAGCTGACTAGTATGTATAAGGACTTACAAATTAGGTTACACAGCAACTTATTATTGCTGTTCAAGACTATTTCCATCTAATCAGATAAAATGATCAAAATTCCAATTTTACTGACATCCAACTTCATTAACTTATATTTACAGAAGATGCTGATCAACTTGACAATTTTTAAATCGCCTTGATCAGTTCCCTTCAGAATAATCAAAATTCAAAAAAAAAAATACAAATTTGAGATGTGAGAGAAAGAAAAAATTATTTTTGTGGCATAAAAGTGGAGATAAAGAATGAAACAAAATTTTTAAAAAAGAAAATAATGAAAAATAAATATTAAATGAAAAATGGAAACATGTTGTACAAATTTAGAGCAAGGACGAGTATAAAAGTTGATAATGGATTACAATTTTTGTGGATGTGTTTTAAGGTTTTTTTGATTGGCCATTTTTTGGGAATTTATTTTGATAATTTTTAAGGAATGATTGCATATGCTGAGATTAAATAGAGTTTGATTGATCGAGCTCTGGTTGGAATTGAACCCAAGTCCATACAACAGTGGGTTACAGATGTCCGGTCTATTGACTTATGCGCCATAGCCCATCGCAATGGCAGATTCGAAAATAAATAAATACCAGAAATACAGAAGAAAGGAGTCATAAAACAAGCACAGGAGCCAAGAGCAGAAGAAAGTCTCAGGTCGCCACTTTGTGAATTTATATCTGAAAGTAAGATCAAAACAATTATTTGGATGATTTCGCTTCCTTATTTTTTCCATGATTTAAAGATACATTACTGGTATCTCTTGATGGGGGGTAAAATCCCCGAAAGATATTAATTCCACGATCCTGCGGGATAATAACCCCGAAAATCGCAAATTTTTAAATGTTCCCTGCGGGATAATATTTCCACTTAGAAATACACGTGGAATTATTATCCTTCCGGGAAGATAATAATCCCACCTATAATTACAAGTGGGATTATTGTCTCCCAGGTAGATAATAATTTCACTTACATTTCTAAGTGGGATTATTATCTTTATGGAACACGATTAAAATTATGGATTAAATTAAATCCAAAAACTTATTTGTCATAGTGGATAATAATTCCACTTGTATTAATAAGTAAATTTATTATCTAATATAATTTTCATCCAAAAAAAATCCCACTTATTAATTTGTCAATTTCATTATTCCAAAAACTTAAATATGAAGAAAAAATAAATATTGGTTGAATGTTTGCTTTTTAAAAATATATTATTCCAAATTGTTTAAAAAATAAAATCAAGGTGGGTTCAACTTATCTAAAGATGTTAGCTATTCCATATAAAATTATGTTCGAAATTCGCTCGAATGTTTAAAGAAAATGTAGCCGTAATTCCATTTTGTTTCGCTTCATTCATTCAACTGTTTAAAAATCACAGTTTTGTTCAAATGTTTAGAAGTAGATATGTTAACCTCTAATTGGCAAAATAATAAATTTTTCGATTCTTTCCTGAAATTTTCCAAAACTCATTCAAATAATTGTAAATTGCCCTTAACAAAATTAGATTTATAAATCTAATCATAATATTATTTACACATTTTGCTAAGAAAAATCTAAAGATTTAAGCATAAAAAGAACGCAAAGTTAAAATTCTGTTGCTCAAATTCTTATTAAATTAACTAGAATTTTAAAATGAAGGCAGTTCTGATGCTGTTTAACCGTGTCTACAAGCCCCAAGAAGGTTTCCAATGGTTTTAGAACATTTAAGAGATTTGATTGTTTATAATCTCAAAATTTCGAAATT